CGTTAAACGCCTCCTTTTATGTGAACGAAGCAGAAAGCCTGAGTTGACAGCTGATAACCACCTTGGTGACACTCATTATCTCTGACTGAGACTTTTTGTCGAGTCGGCTTACACAAAGAAAACCCAGCTTACTTCGTAGTACATCCCTCTGGACCTACATTATAACAACATACAGCCCAGTGTGTTTATTGTTTGCCTCTTCTAATCTTAACTTCATACTAAAACAAGACAGACGGTTTTATTTCATCTTCTTCAACATGCACTCAGCTACTTGACAGACTTACGTGAAATATTCCGTTTTTGGTGTTGTGCTCATGTTAAACTCTGCCACTGGAACGCCTCTGGAGGCCACCCGGGGCCCGAACATGGCCGCTGGGTACACAATGGAAGACGTGCCCACCTGCAAGGTAAACAACGGAGAGCAATGACTCCGGTGTCACCTTTAAACCGACCGTACAGTGTGTCAGGTCGAGTCCTTGACACATTCTGAACTCCATTACATAATAGCATTACACGGGAGGAAAAATACGCTGTGCGTGCACATCAAAGTGAGGATAACTCACCACCAGGCAGAGATCGCAGATTTCCATTTCTTTTTCCACCTGGGTCAGGATGTGAGAGTCCAGAGTCTCCCCGAAAAACACCACATTGGGCCTCAACAGGCCGCGGCAGTCTCTTTCATCACACCTTGACACGGCATCAAACAGGCCTGATGTTAGTTTATCGTACTGCCTTTAACACAAAGTATTTGGCTCAAGACCAAAGCATGAATCCAAGCACACGGATTCAGTGATGAGATGTGATCAGAGGATGCCAGATTGATAAATGTCCGTAAAAAACTATACAGCTGCTGTTTGCTCAGTGAACGTCAATGTGAAACTGTGAGCCGTGTTTTTAGCTACACTTGCTAGCACAAGGAGAGCTGAAGTATTCATTGCGCACCACTGCCCCCAAGTGGCGGAAAAAGGAATTCATTATTAGAAAAAAGGGAATGAAGTCACTGGGGCAGCAGATTATTTCTACATCAGTAGGAGGAGAACTCTACTAGTGGGTCATGTTTGTTTTTACTAGTTCTGCAGGTGTATTTATATGGATTCCATAATTATGAACTTTAAAGGAAACTTTAAAAAAAGAATAGGGATAGCTTAACGAGATGCAAAACAGACAGAGGCTTAAAACAGAGCAGGAAGAGGATGGAGGTTGTTGTGAATGCATCTCTCACAGGAACACAAAAATAACTGAAATAAAATAGAAATACTGCATACTAGCAATGGCTCTAAAGTGTGTAATTAGTGGGGTACAGATCTTTTTGGTGTTCCAGATATTCATATAATGTGATGTTTTTTATACTGATCACACCATCTTTCAGTCTTCCTTCATTTTTAATATGTTGTGTTTTTATATGTTATGTTTTTAGAACAAACTTACACCTGCTTTTTTTTTTTTTTACCACAAAATCAGGGAAAATGCAGAATTCTAAATCAGTGAAGCTAAATACAGATACATCAGAGAGTTTATCTGAGGTTTGCTCATTATTTTGGTGCAGAATCCAGAATTTTATGCACACCCAGGCTGTTGTGTCTGACTGATCACAGTGTGCATTAGAAATGTAGAACAAACAGGTAATCTGGCTCTTAGTGTCATTAATGTAAAGTGAAAGTAATCCCACCTCGGTAGTTTATCCACAGGAATCTCGGCGTCAGCAACATCTGGGCCAGGTGCACTGCATATTAACAGGATAAACACACAGTGAGCTAAATGGCACTTTACTCATGTAGGGGTCACAAACTGGAGGGATCACGCAACAGATTCTGAATGCTTATCAGGTTCGTGTGCATTCCTGCTGCCTCTTACCCTTTGCCCTTTAAGGCCGCACATATGGGGCTTCGCCTGTTCACGCTCACTTCCCCACAGCTCACACAGCGCGTCTCCATCAGATTACCTGCAGTTAAACACCAAACACAAAGCTGTTGTTGTCTGTAGGCCTCTCACCAGAGTTTGCTGACAGTGATAGCTTATTGTCCTAACTAAGACCCAGTTGAACTGAAGAAAGAGCTTAAGGGCAGAAGTCAGATGTTTTTGCACTCGCTGATCCACCCATCCACAAAAACGGAAAAGTCAGACAAAATGTTCTCCTTAAGACTGAATCAACACTTGAGCAAGACACTTCCTGGACTCGGTCCACTTACATTAAATTAGTGACTAACTCTGCGGGCTCGTGTTTGTTCGAGAGACCAACAGCGATGAATCACATGTTTCCACGTCCCAGTAAAACCACTATGGTCCTGTCAAGCTTTCCATTAATCACTAAATGTGGAGCAGCTTTGGGATAAGTTAAATATTATTAATCCCAATGGGAAAATTCATCCTCTGCATTTGTCCCATTCGACCTGAGTTCAATTTTAACTGAGATTGCCAAAGAAAACTGTGCACGTGGGCCTATTTCAGTGTTTTAAAACATACGACAACAATAACGACGAGTGTTTGCTGAGTTGTTCTACATCACTTCAATGTGTGATTCTAACAGCAGCTTGTATGTTTGGCCTGACTCGGCTTCTCACCGTGAATCTTCAGCACGTTTTTGGACCCGGCCTGCCGGTGCAGGTCGTCTATGCACTGGGTGATGACGACCACAGAGCGGTCCTGCTTCCTCAGCCGGGCCTCACACTCTGCTATGGCCACGTGGGCGGCGCTGGGCTTCTTGTTCAACACCAGCTCCCTTCTGTAATGGTAGAACTCCCAGACCCGGGACGGGTTGCGAGAGAAGGCCTCCGGAGTTGCCATGTCCTGAGAAACATCCACATGGGCAACGTTTTCACAATAAAAGCTCAGAGAAGGAAGTAATAAAAAACGTGTATTAGACACATATTAAGTTGTAACATGTCCATTAAGGAGGCTGATAACGATGAACCCATTCCACAGCAGCATCTCTGAACCACGACTGAAAATCCAACTGAGCACAAGATTTTTGGCCTAAAACAAAAACAGAAAAGCAAAAGCAGCCTTTACCGGTGCGTATACGTGTGTGCTTTGCTTGTTTATGAATTACCTGTGATTGCCACTTCCTCCACTTCTCGTGTTCTCCCCTGAACGTCGGTACTCCGCTCTCTGCGCACACACCTGCCCCCGTGATGATCGCTATGTGCTTGGCTTTGGCAAAGGCCTCGCGGAATTCAGACACGTCTAGAAACAAAAAAAAAAGACAAACTAACATCAGTTCAGGTGACGTCCAAGTAATCTGCTGGGATTAAGTTTTTAAATGGAACACATGCAATGATACAATAATGGAAGTACAACACATGGAGTCAGTAGTATCACAGTGGTTTGTTGATATCCAACCCCATCAATTTAACCCTAATTGTACTGACCGGTATTCCCACATAACCCGGAGCTATAGTTTTTGCTTTATTGTATCATTCAAAGTTTCATTGACTTTGCTGATTGTTTTGCTTCCACATGTTCGCTTTTGGGCATATATATAAACAATATATATTTGGGGGATTTTTTCCACAATATTTGACACTTTGGTTTATTTATTTTGCTTATGTCTATCTATCTATCTATCTATCTATCTATCTATCTGTGTGTAGTATTATTTATTCTTATTGTTTCAGTTTGGAACAGGTGCAAAATACATTTCACTGTGCGTCATACTGTACAATGCAGGCCTTGAATCCAAATGAATTCATGCAGTTGTTTTCTGTTTTAATTGGAGCTTTTTTATTATTATTATTATTATTATTGTCCTGAGCGACTGCCAGTTTCGCCCATGCAGACTTCTAGGTTCGTCCTTTACGGATGGAGCCATGCATTGAGTTCATGTTTGTCATACATCCTAGTTTAAACTTTCACTTATTATCAGCGGGGGTCCAGGAGGGCAATCTGTGAGTCATTTCGAAGGAGACAGACACAGATTTTCTCATGTGCTCGGACAGTGACTCCAAACGGTCAAGATAAGACTGAAAAAGTGTGTCAGGCACACAGCCGACATGCAGCCAGAGCATGATCAGGACGTGGTGGGAGTTTGGGAAAAAGCACAAATGGAGCCACGGTGAGGCTGCAGAGCTGCACAGGGAGGAGGTGAGAAGAGGTGTGAGCGAGGAGAAAGACTCCAGGAGGTTTCTCAGAGCTCCGAGTTCTGTTTAGCTGTGATGAAGTTAGAATACATCTTCTGTAATATAGTTCTGGGCGACACTAGAGCTCCTGGGTTTGAATCGCAGCTCCTTAGTGGAGTTTGCATGTTCGCTCTGTGGCTGCGGCTTCTTCCCACAGTCCAAAGACATACTGAGGTTGATTGGTGATTCTAAATTGGCTGTAAGTGTGAATGTGACCGTGCTGGGCTGTTTGTCTCTTTGTGTTGGTCTTGTGATGGAGTGCTGTCCAGGATGTCGCCTGCTTTCACCTTACATGAGCTGGGACAGGCTCCAGGATGAAGCAGCGTTTAGATAATGGATGTATGACACCTGAGTTGTTTTTTAAAGCAAGCATATCAACATTTTTTTTGATTTGGTGCCGCTGCTGAAATTTTGAGACATAAACTGAACAAAAATGACGCTTTGTTTAATAGAATAAAATACAAATACCTTGTTGATCTCAGAGGGGAAATGTGGTTATTACAGCAGAAAGAGTGAAGTTACCAAAATCATTAATACACATAAATAAGCATTTTATTCAAGAAAATATAAAATACAAAATGCACACTAAGGGTAATGTAAACTAAGTAAAAATGTCCTGTGTGAAGTGTAGAACAAATAATGTGCAAGAAAAAAAGTGACTGAAAACAAAATTACAAAAGAATCAAAGGATGCTAGTTGGATGGAAAAGCTGCAATTTCCGTAAAAGAAAAGCAGCTATTTTCAACTGACATGATGTGCAAACTAAATGTAGCTTATCTAAAATAATATCAAATTATTTATATAACTGATAAGTTCATATTTTACAGTGATGATTGTTATATAGTAATTATAGTATAGTAATTACTTATAGTCATTTATTCTAAGCCCAGTTAGTAGTCGTTGTGTGTGAAATTTGTTAGCAGGATGACAGTTAATAAAGAGATAAATAAACACATAAGTAGTCATTTTATGTAAATAATTTAAATATAATTCAGCATTGTGTTCTCTCTTATCTTATCGTGATCTGCTTCCTGGTTGTTGACACAGTTAATCGGGAGCTTAGTATTTGTTTTTCATTATTTAGCCTTTAATAAATGATTGATTTCTTATTCATGTCATTGACACGACAATGTTTCTACACTTTGTTATGAAATGCAACTAAATCCACTTAATCCCAACATTTCACTGCATAATTTCCTTCGTGCCTGTCGGGAAGGATCCCTGACTGACAGAGCGATGTTTAATGAAGGACCAAACTTGTAGTTTTACGCTGTACAAATAAAGGTGACGTGAATTACCTGAGCTGGGTCTGGCTGCGTCAGTCAGCGGTCCTTTCGTCACATGAGTGGAGCACATGCGGAGGCCAAGGGCAAAGACGGCTCGCCTTTGGAGAAGCATTGTGACTAGAAAAACCAGATGAACACATGAGAAACATGAGGGAGAATGCATGAAGAAATCTGTGTCAAGTTTACATTTTCTTTTACCCTTATCTTCTGCTCTTATTCTCATGCACACGGAAGTTGTTTGCAGGTAAAATAGTTTTTTCTGATTATATCAGATGCACTTGGGTTTAAAAATTCCACTCATAGCTCACATGAAGTATAGAAAAGGGGGATGTTTTTGCCTTTTGCTCCAAGCTGGGACACTTAAGGTTCATGCAAGAGGAAGAATCAAGAAATAAGAGCAACACAACAGTAAAAACACGTTTCTGTTATAGAGTTCTGTGCAAGCACCAACATGAAAAGCTGCAAAATCACATGCACTGTGCAATTACAGCAATGACACTCTAAACGTAGCCTGCAATTGCCACAAAGCAACCTGTTCTAACACTCTCAAGTCAGGGAATGTGCAAACAGTCGATTGTAAAAAGAAAAAGGCTGCACAGAAAAACAACTGGGTGCGTCTGAAATCAAATGAAACAGGTTTGACAGGAAGCCCAGCACACTGAGGAGTTTAAACTCCTACAGACGTCCTGCTAAGTTACACTCACGGCTGTTTTTAGGTTCCTCCAAGCAGCTACTTAACCTCCAACATTAGACAGCAGACGTCGTTGCAAAATCCTCTCCGAACTCCGGAGGACGTGCTAGCATCGACTTAGCGCCGCTTTGACGTGCTGAACTGAGCTAGCTGGGATCAAACCACGACGTGCTCGCTGTCACATAAGCAGGAACTAGCGACCAAATACGTCTTCTACGGGTGGAAACAAAGTGGAAACAGTCGTATTTAAAACAGCTTTTTGTTTCCACTCACCTCGCTGGGTAATATCGCCGCTGTCAGAGCAGAAAGACACGCCGTGCTCGCTTGTTTACACACGTCCCTGTAATTAACAACAGAGGAGCCGTAAACGCGCCACACTGTCGTAAATCTCGCTCTAAAAAAAATAAAAAGCTCAGTATCAGGAGATGGGAGAAAGAAAAGAGGAAAAAAAAATAAGCTGTGTTGTTTAGCAGAGCCATCTGCTGGTAGACTGCAGGAACTGTGATTCATTCAGGATGATTCATTCATTCTCAGCACTTCATCTAAGACATGTTTTCAACTTCAAACTAAAATACTAAGAGGATGACACACTGTCAGAATAAAATAAAGTAAAAAATAGGTTTGGAAAAAAAATCTTACACATCACCACTGAAGTCTTTAGTTTTGTTTGTACTGTGTTGATGTTTTGCTGCAATATTTTGTTTGCCTTCTCCCTCAAAAACCTCATCTTATCATATTATTTATTTGCAGTTGTGCTGGTTTTACTGTGTTTTACTGCTGATACTTGGTGTGTTTCATATTTTCCCTGCCTGCTCTTTAATGTGAAGGTTTGTCTCTCGTCTGCCTCTTGTTTGTATCAGGTTAACAGCTTGACCCCGAGGTCCTGGAGAGCTCAGGAGGCCTTATCTTGTCTCCTGAAGGGCCACACAAAGAATTCTGTGGAGGCCTTGTTAGTAGAACAGTTGAGAGACAGTATGAGAGACAAACTCCCCGTTATTGAACTGACTTTACACCTTTGGCTTTTGTTTATGGAAGGCATGAGCATGTATGACTTAATGCATTATATAATACTGATTTAGTTTTTTGCAAAATTCCCACAATAGCTTTCCTCAATTGTATAATATATTGTGCTATATTAATTGGTTGTTGTTGTTATTTCCTGCAAGCCTGTTTAAATGATTGAGATCAGATCCGATCAGACAAATGATGTCAAACCATCCACTGGGAAGAATAATTTGTATTTTAAAAAAAAGAAAAAGAAAATATGAGGAAGTTTGGGGACCCTTTATTGAATATGCAAAATACTTGGATTTAACAGAAATATATATAAATCACACTGAAGAATAACTGTTTGCTGTAAACCATGCAGACTTTGAGAAGAATAATCCTAGAAGATAACAAATATAGATGATTATCTGCTAGCTGAGCATTTATTTTTGGATTATTAGCATTTTTATTTCTGTATGCATATGTTTGTTGCTCATAAATAAAGATATTGCTGAAAAAATATTGTCTTCAATGGATCTAAATTGAGCTTAGAAGCTCATGATTCACTCATTTATACATTTTTGCCTAAATCTTAGCCCTTGCATGGATCCAGGGTGTATAGGCGCACTGTATGCGTCTATACTGAGCCTTTTCTGACTTCATTTTTTCACATTTTTCCTCTCACTAGGCCCTATACAGCCATATACCACCATCCTCTCTCCCTCCCTCCCTCCCTCTCTCTCTGTGTGAACTCCCTCCTCCCTCCCTCCCTCCCCTTCATCAATAGCTACCTCCCAGCGTGTGAGTGGCCGTGGTTTCTGCATCTGCCCCAGTCGGCCAGCAGTCATCCCTGGACACTGGCTTTAAATTGATGGCGACCACTCCAGCCAGCAGCACAGACCGCAGACCGATCCGAAGACTGCGCTCCAAGAGCGACACCCCATATCTGGTTGAAGCCCGGCTCTCCTTCAACCTGCGGACAGGTAGGCGCACGTCTCCATCCATCCTCACCACCCCAAACATGTTCTCCTTTACATCCATGTATCCAGATGTGGGTAAACCGGAGGGGGGTGACAGTCTCTTGCTTTTACGCGGATGAAAAATAAACGAGCACCAGCTTGTTATTGTCTTGGACTTGTGTTACAGTTTCGCTGTGGGATTTAAGCAGCCACATTTTATTAATGGATCGCTGTAGATCTTCCTCTGAGGCAACTGTGACTGAAATGTTATGCAACTTTGGAGACTGGCGGCGGCGGGCTGACAGGCGGGCATGGCGCAAAACGCTGGCGGAGTTTGGGAATGAAGCAGCCGCCTATTTTGTTTTATTTTTTCTCAGCTTTCACTACCATTCATGTGTGAATTCAGATTTCGTCAGCGTTTGGTAATTGCCACCACTGTAATTCAACGCAGTTACATAATAGGAAGAAGCCTCAATGTGACCTGTAGTAGCTTTCGCTGTGGTGCACAAAATTTCGCTGCTGTTGTGTATATTTTTTGTGTGTCTCAGATTCTCATCTAACTGCGATGACACTCGTGGTGATCGGTCTTCTGTCTCCATCCCCGTTTACAAAGTGTGTTGCATCCCCTGTTACCATGGTGACTTGGCATTTTATGCTGACTGAGTCAACAGGATTGGGATCTTTTTGCACTACAGTGTAATTAAGATCCACGCTGCATCCAGCAGTCTGTTAAACCCACATCCACGCCAGTCACTTAATGCTCCAAAGGATCTTTGATATCTGTAGCTATCGCAGTCCAAATGTGCTTTTCTCCTGCTAGTCTCGTTCACTGGGAGGATTTGAGTGTGCCCACATGTCTAATGATTAGAATGACATCACAAGTCCTACGCTTGTTCCCTTAATGCCTCTGAAATATAGGATTCAAAAGAACAGTCCTGGCGCAGCTTAATAGAAATGTTCTTATCCCATTTTATCAGCTTGCAGCTGGAGTCACACCCATCATCCACTCTGCAAATTGTAAGAGATGAGCACCAGCCTGTAGTCTGTAGTGTTTGGATGTCGTCCAGTTGTCCATGTTTCTCTTTTTTCTCCCTTTTTTTGGGTTGAGAAAATGTCAAAATGTCATATATTTTGTTTATTCACCCTCTTGGTGACGTTAGATAAAATATGCTGATGTGAAGAAGATGCCTGGAGCCTTCTGACAAAGCGTGTGGAAGTGTGTCACCTCATACCAAATTCATCTGTTAGTAATGTTACAATTAATCATTTAGTTAAATGTCATGAATTAGTGAAAAAGCCCAAAGTGACATCCTTAAATTGCTTGTTTCCTTCCAGCCAACAGTCCCAAATGCCAAAGATATTAAATTTAAAAAGATGCGCAGCAAACGCTCACATCTGAAGAGCTGAACTTGACAAGAAATCATCAACCCATGATTTCTTGTCAGGACTATTTAGTAATAGGAGGGCTCTAAGCAGAGCTTGTGTTTTAGGCTCCAGTGCAGTTTCTCGTTTGCCAGCAGTGTAGCAGCTGTATTGACAGCAATGTGTGCAACGTCAGGCCCAGACGCTGCTGGAAAAGAGCAAAACGGTTGTGTTGTCCTGGTTGAATGAATGAAAAAAATAAGAAAGAGGCAGTTTTAGGATACTCTGCTGGTGCCAGTGAGTGTTTGGCCTGTGGAGACGAGCTTGTTGTCAATGACAGGAGACTGTCATTAGCTTCTGTGCTTCTTTTTCATTTCCTTACTCTACAACAAGCTCGCACAATGCAAGAGGAACGTACGGGGGCGATTTGTACAACAGCTCTGTTGACTCACTTCCACCTGAAGAAGTGGAGCAGGATTTAGCTTGCTTATTGCCAAGGAAACCAAAAGTCTTGTGGTTGTGCACCCAGGTGCCTAATAATGATAAATGACCACGGCTGCCAGAGACGTGAAACAAGAACTGGGCAATTATCTCTGTGTATTTCACGATAAAACAATAGCTTTGGTTTCACTTTGTTCAGTTTCTTTTTTTTTTTTCCAGGGCTATTGTGACGGTATAAACACAGCCTAAAAGGACGATATTCATAATCGTATTCATTGCTGCCACTGAAATGTTATGACTAAATCACAGTTTTCATAACTGATCTGCATCTTCACAAAGAGCAGACAATGCACTTTTATATCCAACACAATCACGTCATTATCAAGACGCCGGCATCGGATTACATGGTGCCGAGTTTGTCTGAGTGATAATTAGAAGATGAATCTGAAGGTTCACAGCCATTTTAACTGCTGCGTTCAAACAGCTGATGCCGGAAACAAGTTAAGTCGTCCTATGTATGGATCAGGCATCAGTGTGTGTGCCACAACTTTGACTTTTACACAGATAACGCCGCGGCATACAAATGACGGATACTCTGTGGGTTTTTCTAATGAAATCAGAGAGCGTGTATGAAACATGGCTTTATTGCGTTGACCTGTTTGCAGTCTACACTAATCTAATTTGCCCCACAGTTAAATGGCCCTGCACACAGTCACAAAGACATAACCACATAACGGCATCATTAACCGCACAGTTGTCAACGATTGTGCCATCTGCCATAAAACATTAAAGGGCGTAGGTGTGGATGGATGTCTGACCTCCCTGACAGGTTTGATTTCAATCATTATCGCTTGGTGTGAAGCTTCAGATTGTTATTTCAGCAGGATGCATGCATGCACACACACGGGAAGCTGGAGCAGCAGCTGAGCGATGACAGAGGAGCTAGAAATATTATATTACAAGGATTTTTTTTTTAGCTAAAAAGAAGAGATACGTCGTTGTGTAAACATGTATTTTTGTGAGCTCAAAGTGTGCATACATATCAGTCCCTTGTTAGTGCGCTGCCTATATGCTGCCTGCTGACACAGCATCTGTCTTCCTTGAAGAGGTTGCCTGCTTGTTTTTATTTGTCCGTCATTCAGCAGCTCTCTGTCTGCAGACTCATGCTTCATACAAGAAAGTCTCCTAATTGCAGGCGCTGGCTCTTTTTGATTTTCCACTAACGTACCTCTGCCAAAGAGATTAGACACCTCTGGGTTTTCCAACATCTTCATTCACACGATCAACCTAACCTTTTAACTCGGCGTCTCCCTGCCTTCTGTCTCCGTATTTGACTCCTTTCATTAGTCACCCTTTTGGTGTTAACACTCTCAGTGGCTTTAATCGACGGTTACGCTCTTTTCGCTTGATCCTGTTAGCGTGTATTATGAGGAACATAGATTGGCTGACTGATTGGTGCAGTCGTAGTGGTGCTACGGTGCAGCTGTGTTGTGAATGCTGCACATTCATGAGTTTATATTTGATTTAGAAGAAGAAGACCTTCATGTCAGGAGTTTCTTTCATCGTGCTAAAATAAGTAAACGAAGGGTAATGCATGCATGCAGGCATTTTTTAATCCTAATGAAATCAAATGTGTTGTCCACACAGAGCTCGGCTGTATCAGAATTGAGCATGACTCATGAATACCATGTTTAGGATTAAGATGGCATATTGCAAATTGGAATGCCGCATTAACTTTCTGCATTTATTTATTTAGTTTTGAATTCCTGACACACAGGCCAGCCTGTTTAGGGTCTCCTTCAGTGTCTCTGTTGTATGGAACTTTAATCACAGCACACCTCCTGCACATATGTTTGTTGTGCCAAACAGCTGGATGTTGTGTGGGGATGCCAGTGGCTTCAGCTCCTACCGTTTTACCTGGCCTGCATGCAAATAGCCAAAGCTGAATCCAGAACTCGGCTGCACTGCAGATGTTTAAGCACAGATAATACGAGGCGCCCTCCTTGGCTTTTATGCACATGTATATTTGCATCCTTAACCGTACACAACGCGCAGTCTCTGTCTCGCAAGTATAGCTGTAAATATGCAAAGAGATGCGGCTTGAACGTTATTACATGTTCCTCTCAGAATCTGCTGCTCAAACCTGGCTCAGTGTTGCGGCCACATTAGGCTAAAAAAAGCGAAACTCAAATCATTCACCACCCACCACTCCCTGCTTCTCTCTTTCTGTGTTGCAGTGCCTGTGCACAGTAAGCAATGCTGTCCGAAAGAGTACAATCAATACACACCAGATGCATGGTGGGACGGGGCAAATTTCTGCTGCAGAGCTGTGTGTGCCAGTTACCTGACGATTTACAGTATGTGAGAGGAACATTTCATAGGAAAGAAATGGAGCTGTGGCTTCTCTGACGGGATGCGTGCAGATATTTTTGCATTATCTTCCACTATTCAGCATTCAGACACGATTTGCATATTCACTTTCATGAGGAAAGATCTGGTCGGATTATGTCGGGGTGTTTTTTTTTTGAAAGGCAGCTAAAGGTGACTGCAAGGACAAGAACCGGCGGAATTTGCAATCACCGATTCAAGCTGTCAGTCCTTTTTTTTTTTCAAAAGCAAAGTGAATTTCTGATTAACTAGTTGGGCTGGAGCCAGTGCAGAGGCTGTTGAATTAGTAATGTTTTTAGCTGTTTGTAGCGACACTAGAGGCTATTAGCAAATGTGTTTAACAAAGTGAGGATAATTAGTGGCGAGAGATTTATATCATTTCTCAGCCTCTGTCACCTCTGATTTATCTCTCTTTCATTGCCCCCCCCAACCATCCACAAAACACATGCACACAGCACATGGCTGACATGTCAGACCATCACATGAGAGCCTAACAGGAGCCTAACATCTGAGAGAGAGAAAAAAAAAAAAAGAAAACAACCGAGCATCCATCTTCCCTACTTGGTTGCAAATAGGCCCTCATGTGCAGAAGCATCCCAGGTCTGAATAAAACATGAGTGGGAAAATCAGGGCAAAAAATAGCAATGCTATATCCAGAACTCTTACTGGATGCTCCTGCTGCATACAAGTTCAATCAGCCATCAGTGTCACCTGGCCAGACCACCTGCCAACCTCTGGAGCAAGACGCTTATACGAGAGAAAAAAAAAGGCGAGCAGGTGTCTTCTATGAGAGCCTTCAGGAAGCTGCATCTCTTTTTTCTGCAATCTCTCGCTTTTCTCTCTGCTTTCTTTTCATCTCTCTCCCTCTCTCTGTCACACTTGGAAGTGTGGGAAAGGCTTCTGGCGGCGATGCGCTTTCCACACGCCATCTGAGAAATAACGCCTTTTTTTTTTTTTTTTTCAAAAGCCTCCCAAGCTGAAGAAATCTGCATGACGATGTGCTTATGGGTCATATTTATAGTAAGTGTGGATGCACGGCGGTACAGAGAGGGGTAAAGATCCCACTGCAATGGCAGCATGGCCAAGCACCAATTATACTGGAGGAGAGAGCTCTGCCTGAATCACTGTTACTCTCTGAGGCTGCTTTTACAAAATTTAAAGAAACACGCATTGAGAAATAAAACAAAGCCGGCTGCACACAGTATCCAGTCTGTTGCCTGAGGGACGAGCGAGCGATATCGCTGTTATCTCATAATGGCAATTAAATGTATATTCTCAGCAGATAATGTCAGGCGGTCGGGAGGCGTGCACTGTCATCCATTAAATGGAGATGATGAATGTGTAAAGACAGTCATTTGTTGCGAGTGTCACCAGCGCCGTTCCCATAGTGCACCAGCTCTTTAGGACCTTTCTGCTGAGTAAGTGTCTTCACAGAGTCAGAATCCCCTCAACACTGCTGCAAACCTGGGACTCAGTTCAATCAAAGCTGCAATGCACCACTCAGCACTCCTTCAGAATTGTATCCTATATCCGATGATAAACCCCGAGCTACGTTTGAACCCAGGTTAATCCTCCGATTATATGAATGACAGAAGAACAAAAACCCCTTTTTCATTCATAGGCTGATGCGCACCATACTTGATTAACTAGACATTTGTTAATTTAAATGTGAAAAGAGAGGTGGTGTTGTGTTCCCTCTACACAAAACAATATGTTAAATAATGCGTGCGCTTCTCAGACAGTTATGTAAGCCTGTGTAAAGATCGTCTAATAGCCTGCAGGATGAACTGGGATCTGAGGAAGCAGAATAATTCTGTGAAGTTAAGTGATTTAACTAAGAAGGCATTTTGCTCCCATCCTTTCTGCGGAATATAGATCCGACGCAGAATTGATTTTTAATCACATTATTAAAACATTATCAGAAGTAAAATGTAACCTGTGGCTACTTAATATGAAACAGAGCGCTTTGAAGATAAAGAGGCAACACCTGGAGATGTAAAGGTGACAATCAGGCTGCAACATTCAGATAAACTTGAGCCGCAAGTTAGTAAGAAAACTACGAGCTCCTCCGCTGCTCACATATCCAGCTCAGACAATACCATGAATAAATAATCCCTCATGCTGAAAAATATATAGCTGTGGGGTACTCTTAAATCCCAGAGCTGTACTTTTTGTCATATCACAGGTACTTTATTCTGTCACTCCAATTTTTCATGACTTTGTAATTAGAGATTTCTAAATAAACTATGGTTTCAGGTCCCCAGTCAAAAAAAACAACAACCCCAATTCCATCTATGCATACTGCTCCTCACAAAATAAGTTCAAAGTCCAAAAATACAATACAGAATTTCATGACGACATGTTTTATGAATTTCAAAACTAATGTTTATATTCTGTTATAGAAGATGAGACTTAAAATAGCGCATCATGCAGTCGGAGCCTGATCAGGAGATGGTGTGAGTGTGGAGGGAGAAGCACAACCAGATCCGAGGCCGCAGAGGGAGAAGGATGAATATAAACAGAGAAAGACCTCAAAAGTTCGCTCTGTTTCTTTCCAGCTCCGAGATGGCTGTTAAAAATGTAGAACATAGTTGTGGATGACTTGATGAGTCAACGTGGGGAAGCAGATGAAGATTAGCCAGATTCATTGTTGCTGAAATGATAGCAGAATAAAAACAAAGGTAATTATGTTGTCAAGTATGAATGTTTATTGTACCTGGGATAAAATCTTTGTTTTACACAAAATGCAAATTAACTACAACTTAACTAAAAACAAGAACCATCTTTTGTTTTCTGACAGAAATTACAAGAATGTTTGGAGAAGAAAGGAGTTCATAATTTGCAATGATACTGGTTTCTTATAGTAGTTAATCCCTTTGTTAAATATAATATAGTACAATGAGGGTTAAAGCAGCGCATAGACTGCACCGGTTTTCCCTGCAATTGCTTTTATTATTTACAAAACCACTGCTACAGAATAATCAGAGAGAAATTCTGCACATTTAGCATTCATTGATGCTTCTGTTTTGCACAACAGTCCATCCATTATCTATACACCGCTTAATCCTCACTAGGGTCATGGGGGGCTGGAGTCTATCCCAGCTGACTCAGGGTGAAGGCAGGTTCACCTGGACAGGTAACCAGTCTATCACAGGGCTACACTTAGAGACAGACAACCAAGCACACTCACATTCACACCTACGGACAATTTACAATCACCAATTAACCTCAGCATGATTCTGGACTGTGTGGGAGGAAGCCGGAGAACCCGGAGAGAACCCACGCTGCACGGGGAGAACATGGAGACTCCACGCAGAAAGATCCCAGGTGTCCTCACCGGGATGCAAACTGGCGACCTTCTAGCTGCAAGGCAACGATGCTAACCACTGATTTAACAGTCAAATCGATGAATTTTAAGCAAGAAAATTCCACTAAGTTTGACCGCTAGATTTATTTTAACGAAAGTTAATTATCAATAAATGCTAAAATGCAGTGTCAGGAGTTGGGGGGACCCACTGGGATCACATGAACAACCACCGCAGAGGGTGTTTTAAAGTTATTCTGCATGGACCAGTGTGACACTGAAACTACGAGGAACCAGCAACACCTGAAGTTATGAAAATACATCAGTGGCAGGTCGTCGGTGACTCCTGATGTGTTATATAACGCTAAACTCCTTGTGCCTGAAACCAAGAGATAATAGTCTTAACTTCAGCAGAACCAGAGAAGGCCAGAAGGGTCCTAAGCTCTTCAGTTGAGAGTCCCTCAGTGTGGTGTTCATCGAGAGAGCAGGACAGATGGAAGTTTCAGTCTGAGACGAGAAATAGTCTCTGCAGACACATACAGCGAGAACATCCCAGAGGAGTGGCAGTCTGCCGGCCAGCCAGTGTCGCAGAGCTCACTGCAGATTGCTTTCATTTTCTGGAATTTCCTCTCTTTTCGATTTTCACTCGCCTGCTGTCAAGGAGTTTGATTTTGTGGGAGGAAAAAAAACACAACCAGACCTTATTACCCGAGATTTGCTTTCTTTGTATCGCTCGCGCTGCTCGTAGTCCCGTCAGAAGATTTTCAGAGGAGCTCGTATAGTGTTCTGTATTCCCTCTCGGCGCCGTTCATTAAACAGAACGAACACCTACTGCGCGGTTAATGCAGAGATGTTCGCTTCGCCTCCAAAAAAAGCTGCAATCAGTCACCCTCTACCACCTCAGCCGCAACACTGTTCCTTAATTACGTCAAAGTTGAAAAAGAAATACAGCTGAAAACCTCAAACTGTGGGTTCTTTTGTGCAGAAAATAACAAAAGGCACACAGACAAAATAGGTCTGATATTAACAGACAACAGTTGTGTTTAAAGGTTTAACATTCAGGCCGCACAGTCGCATCTTTATCCTCTTCAACTTAAAGGAGATTACAGTCAAACAGAGCAATTTTGTGTTACCGAAAAAAAACTGTCTATAGTCAAAGAGTCATCTGGAGTTTGACAGCTGTACAGGCTCTCACATAATCTCATGGGAGGTGTTGCTGTGAAACTGAAAATGAACCACATGGCAGACGCTGTGTAAAGAACACGGTCCCTGGAGCACCACTGCTCTCTGGTGGAGCTATCGCACACGATGACGTGTGGAAAATCAGTTGATTATCGATTTAAAAAGAATCATTTCAGTTATTTGCCGTGCATAAATGACAGTCGTGCCGACGTAAACTGACACGAGCAGCATCAACAACTCATATGAGGATGTGTGAAAGGTTTTAATGTCAGACAAAATAATCAGCTGTCAATCCAAAATTAGTGTCAATGCTATTCCTGCCACATTTACAGAGCCTATTTCAAAAACTTCTCTTCAGTCAAATGATTTCCCAATCATATGCTCTCACTTAATCTGATCATGTTCTTGATAAATCAGCATTTGGTCAATAATACATTCACAAAGTAATGAAACAAGCTCAGATTGACGTCTTCAGAGTGCTTGTTTTGTAACAGTAAGAAGAAATTCATTACATAAAAGTTTGAAGAGCAGCACATCATCACATAAAACTCACATCTACCAATCTGTCTGTAAAAACTACCTCCCCTAAGCACAGTCACTACACGTGTCTCTACGTTCTATAACGCTGTGTACAACTGTGAGTTTCTGGAAGGCTTTGGAGTAAGCTTGTAAACATCTGAATACATCAGAAAAGTGGCATGCTGTGTTGCACAGCAATTTGTATTCTCAGCGAACGAAATCAGCCACCGTGTCAGACAAAGTGTTGTAGTTTATTTACCAATCTGTCGCTTCGTTATAAAAGTTGTCGTACACATACAGAACGGAGTACGTTGCAAAAAAAAAAAAAAAAAAGGCTTGCGGGGCATTTATGCGCTGCTGTACATGACTCACGGCCGGCTTTAACATCTGAATTTACAAACAAGCCTTTTCTCTGTGCTCCCTAAGGCGGGATTTTCGTGTGAAGGTTTTTCCGCATCTGGGACACGTGAACGGCCGCTCCCCCGTGTGGACCATCATGTGCTTCTTCAGCTCGTTGTTCAACCTGAAGGCTTTGCCGCAAACGTCGCACGCAAACGGCCTCAGCCTGATGTGCTTGGCTCTCCGGTGAGCCGTCAAGTGGGATCCTCTCTTGTAACAGGCGCCGCAGTCCTCGCACTTGAACGGCCTTTCCTCCGTGTGCTGGACCATGTGGAGCTTGAGCTGAGCTGCACTCGGCCAGCCCTTCCCACAGGTGTCGCACAGGTACGGCTCCTGGCCCGTGTGTTTGTACAGGTGCCACTTGAGGTATGTTTTTTGGTAGAACTTCTTCCCGCACACCGGACACGGGTACCCGCCCGTGTGCCTCACCATGTGCGCTCTCAGGCAGTCTTTTGTGCTGAACTGCTTCCCGCAGCAGGAACAAACGCTGGGCTGCCGCTCTCGGTGTTTGCTCTGGTGCAGAATCAGATAAGCCAGTGATTTGAAGCTCTTCCCACATGTTTCACAAACGCGTGGTGTTACGCTGGCACTGTGAACCTTCTCATGATCATTCAGCAGTCCGGGCTTTGCGTAACATTTCTTACAGGCGGCACACTGGTACAGTTTTTTGTTCTGCTGGTGTCGAACCAATTCGCACAACCTCACGAAAGTTCTCTTGCACACGGGACAGGGGTATGAGCCTCGGACTTTGTGGGACTTGGAGTAGTGTCTTTTTATGAGGGCGATATCTGAAAAGTTCTTCTCGCACATGGTGCACTTGATGATGTGAGATTCATTCGGGGAGTCATCTGCACTGTTTGAGGAGTTCTGAGGCGCCGATTGGAAATCACAAGCGTTGATAATGAAATGGTTCGCTCACTTTTTTAGTCGAGGAGCTCTCCTGCAACATTTGCTTTGGTGCTTCGTAAAACTCTTGTAGTAAGTAAAGCCTTGGCCGCATTCCTGACACGTCAAAGGAGAGTCTGCAGTTACATCTTTGACTGTTTGGATGTGAGCGGCAGCCCTTGAAACGGCAGAATTCTCGAGATTCCTTCTGTTCGTGCTGCTCAAAGAGCTCTCCTGTGCGTGTTCTGCATGTGGACGTTGGTTCCTGCATTCACCCTCTTGGTGTGTCTCCCGGTCTTCACAGTTGTCAAAGTCTTTCCCGCAATGCAAACAGCGGTAAGGGCTCTGGTCAGCATGGCATCTCATGTGACTCGTCAAGTCAGCAGAACGAGTGAATATTTCCCCACAAACCGAGCATGTTTTGACGCGGCTGCTTCTTTTGCACGAGTCGGAAGATATCAATCCCACAGGGGCAACATTTAAAGCTGCCGTTTCGCTGAGGAAAGGCTCTTTGGTTGAAGGAACAGGGTCACTGGGGAACACTGGGTCTGTCTGTTGCTTATTACTGACCACACAAAGCTTCTGGTGTTTGTCAAAATTCTTCGGGTACGTAAAAACCTTGCCACAACCACGACAAACGAGACCGTAGCGATCATTAGACTGCTCAGAGTTTGGATGTGACGGGTCGTGTGGTGATGCTCCCGCCAATGACGAAAGCTCGTCTTTAGAAGCAGCATTCCTGATACAAATCTTAGGTTTAGGATGTAAATTAATCTTCTTGAGGAAGCTACTTTGGCGAGCAGAATCGGACTGACCCAGTTTGTTCATCCGGCAACCACTTTGAGTCATCTTGTGCCTTTTTAGTTTGCCAAGAGAACCAAAATTCTGGCCACAAGCGAGACACTTGAAGGTTTTTGCGGATGTCCTGTTGTGAGTTTTCGAATGGCGAAACCATTTCTTGTCCACGTCTTCATCATCATTAGACTCGCTTTCATCAAAAGGTTGAAGTATTACTTCCACGGAGGCTCCTTGGTGTTCAGTCAGATCATCAGTCTGCCCATTTCTCTCCACACTCATCGCCACTTCTGAATTTCTCTCCTCCGACTCCTCTTCAGACTCGCTTCCAAGCGAGTTCTCTCTGCGCCAGTCGGATCCAGACTTGACAGCTGTGTTTCCTTCATCATTGTCCACCTTTGCGAGGTGATAAGACAGGCTGGAAAGGATGCAGTCATCGCCAGCGGAAGACGGAGCTATGAAAAAAATGACACATCCACCCGTCCAAAAAAAAAAAACAACAACAAAATATTTTTAATGTCAGAAAACCAACAGAAAAAGGACAAAAGACTATCTGGAAATAAGTGAAAGTCGCTCAGAGTGCTACCTTGTGGAACTTGGTGTCCGTGATTTTTGTGATGCTGAATGAGTGTCGTCAGATGCTCAGGTTGACTCACAAAGTCTACACACTCTTTTAAGATCGGAGGGGACAGACTGAGCCAGAGGGAAGTCTAGAAATGGGATCAAACAAAATCCGACAGCAGTCACAGAATACTCACATTGATTTTCATGCTTTGCACTTCTGGAAGTATATAGGGATGTATCTTGTGAGAAAAGTTTTAGAAATAGACACACATTCATTAATGCTTTTTGTATATGTTCTAAAATCCCATTTCCTTATTGGTTGTGTGTGATAATGGTTAAATAAGATCGATGTTGGTTCATTAAACAGTATTTTTAAACTGTAAAAACTTCAAATCACAATTTAATTCATCAGCGTTGAAGCGAATATTTAACTTAATTAATTCCACAGTAGCTTTTTCATGCCGCTCACAAAAAAGTGCAATTCTTCAGCACATTTCTGCATCACTGTTTTATCCACTTTCTGTACTTTTAATCCATTACATGTAAAATGTGTAATCGGAGTACAAAGGTCTTTGCTGTGTAAGGAACAAGTTGATTCACAATATCAGCATTTACTTGCCTCTGTTCTGACTTACTGCTAACAAGCAGAGCACTTAGCAGGCTGTAGCCGTCTAACCTATTTGTCATTGCATTATTTAGTGTATGTCAGGTACCCACTTGTTCAAGGGAGGGAACAGGCAGCAGCTTCTGAAGATTAAAGAGGAATTTTCTCATTAGAGCCTGTAGGGCTGAGTCATATTTATTGCCAAACAGTGTGGGGAAGATTTTCTAAAAAATGAAAAAAGTAAAAAAAATAAATAGAAAAAGGCAAAGACAAAAACCTTCATTACATTCCATAATCAGAGAAAAGGCTTTGAAAACTACTTCAGATCCAGAGGTGGAAAGTAGTAATATCTGAGTAATTGCTTTTAATGCTGCTTTAGACTTTCATTTGAGATTTTACACAATGGATATTATAACAATTTTTTGAAATACAAACACATTTTTAACATAGTCTGGGTCACATTAGACCTGTCACATGGTGCCATTTAAACACATGATGACATGATTCTCACCAAAATAAAAAGAGGAGAGAGAAAGTCAGAAAACTGAGAGCAGATTTTAGGATTTTATTTTTTCTTCTTCTGTCTCTCACTAACCATCAGACAACCCCTCATCAACCTGTACTAAAACATTTTAACCTCTTCTAACGTTTCTGTACTGTAACTTAAATATTTTTCAAGCCGGACTTTAACTTTTAAAGGAGTATGTTTGTGTTGCTGTATTGCTACAATTCCTTAATCTAAAGATGGGAATTCTTCTTCCACCTCTGTTCAGATGTTTGACGTCTCAAAATGTAAAGTTTTTAATCATCTAGTACCAATGAACTCACCTGATAAAAAATCTCCCTCTGGTGTTGATCCTCCACAAGAGTGTGAACAAGCTTCAGGAAGTTTGTAACTGTCGCCTTTACCTCGAATCTGGACATCTTAAAAACATAACAAAAAAACACACAAGTAAGTACACATGGCACCAACAGTGACAGATTTTTAAAAAGAAACAAAGCATCTACCTCCTCATCCTGCTTGGAAATGTAGGTGTTCATTCTGCTCAGATGATGCCGGATGGTCTCTGGTCTGGCAAAATCATCACTGCGGCACAACTCTAGCACCACCTGTTGGCGAATCCACAGACCTGATTTAGTGAAGGCTTTATTTTTCCGGCAGGAGGAGGTGTGGTCCTGAACGGTGCGACCTATCACTAGATAGCATCACACTGCATGTAAGGATCGGATCTATTTGCAGAATATGAGGGCGCATGATGCTTACACTGTTCCTGTTTAACACAAATGATCCTTTCAGTCTTCAGTCATGAACAAAACAACGTCTGCATTGAAATGTCATTATAAGCCCAGTTATTTAAGTGCCTCTGTTTCGTGTTGGCGCCTGTAAACGTAATAACATGGTATAAAACAGTCAAGTGCCTCATTTTCTCAGACTATGGAGCCCCAGTTGCTTTCATCTGCTTATTCTAATTCATTATTCTTCATAAACTCTGACTTGTAGTGTTAATAATGCAGTTGGATGTACTCATACTTTTCACACATTATGACAGCATGAAGTAAGCTGTGATAAGAGATTCTCTATTTTGTAGAAGATCAACCATCTTTTGTATTTGTGCATTACTCAAGTCCTTAACCCTGTAAAGACAAGTGTATCATGTATGACACATGAGTTTTTTTTCATGTAAAACCTGACGTATACAATCAGACACATGCAGTCCAGATAATCCACCATAGATCGTAATTCATGCCCAAAAACTGATACAAATTAAAACTCATATATGAAAACTGATTTTATTTTAAAATAAATGCTTAAAAGCAACACTGTCACATTAAAAAACAGAAGAAGAAAAAACAGAATAACAGCAAAAGTGTGTAAAATATTTAATGTTCATCATTTTTCTTTCAAATGACATATAGCTTTAAAAAATTATATTTTTCATCCATTTAAATAAACTAAAACAATAGTTTTACAGTCAGTTTTGTGCATTGTTTAAAAACAAACTACTATTTACAGAAATACTGATTTTTATTTTATACATTTTTATTATTTTATTTATTAATCATGTGTATTATTTGCAGACACTATGCACAGTTGTAAACCACAATCATTCTGAGCACCTTAATATGCAAAATGTGCAGTGTTATCAGCTGATTATTAATATTATGCAGTAATGTGCAAAAAGTTATTTTTATGTAGATGTGAGAATTTAAGCTCATGCAAACTACCTTCAGCATTAACTGCTTTTTTCCACTACAAATAGTCACATTTTGCTAATTCTCAGGTAAACAGTTTGCATCTGCACAGCTGACATACTTAAACAGCATTTTACATATTTATATTGCTTTTAGAATAGGTTTAATTTGCTACACTTGGTTGTTATTGGTTATTTTCTTATTTTATTACTGTTATGCACAAAATCCGATTCCTCGTACGTGAAAACCTTCTTGGCAATAAAACGGATTCTGATTTAGTTAGAATCTGATTTTAGGTTTTGTGTTTGAAATTGTACTCTGCAGAATAGCTGGAAACTATCTCTATTTATAGTTTCTCTTCAGAAACAACCTAATCGATAGAAGATGACAAGTTTGCAGCAGGATGACAGAACTTTAAAGACATCTTGCATTTTAATCTTACCCTTGCACTTAGGCCCATAACTAGCTGGACTCTCTCTGTGTCAGTGAGCAGCTCAGGGACAGTGTCCAGCACTGTGCTGATGAATTCCTCCAGCAGCCCGTAGTACATCACAGCTCCCTGCTTCACTATCTGCCACAGAGCTGCAGACACAAGCTGCACAGGAGGGACGACAAGCCGGAGAGAGGAGAGGGGGAGGCAGCCTGAGGAAACACAGGGGGGACAATTTAGGATTAGGTAATTATCGCTGATAGGAAAATAAATAAAAATATGTTTAGTGCAGTGCGACATTAATTGGCACCTTCCCCGTTAACATTAGCTGTTTCCATTAACATCACTGTTAAATGTGTGGGAAAAGGCGACCTAACATGAGGCAAGGTGTAGCTGAGTGTTTAAACACTCACCATGGTCGGTGACTGTGGTGCTCATTTTAGCGTTATGGACATAATTTTTAGCAGAGAAGACTTGCTAATAATATTTTAGCCAATAAAAAAAAAAAGAAAAAAGACTGGCCGGAATATGGAAGTCACTTCCGGCTTACGTCTATCAGGAAGTGACTACGTTCTACGTCATCACGTACGAACGTACAAGGGAGACGCTCGTTTCATAATATCCGCTTAAGCAGACAGTGTTTTTAGATAATGTTTACGGCGTTTTGACAACATAAATGACACGGGGCTCTGTAAATTTAGATTTATGAAGAGAGAGGCACATTTTACACCACTTGTGTTTGTGTTTTTTCAAACTGTGTAGTCAGTAAATTGCCCATAGACGCCACAAGATGGCAGCATCGTAGCAGATATTACATGGAATAAGCTGCACAAAGAAGCCTCCTCCAACTTACTGCCATTATTACAGCATTTTGTCTTATTCTGACTTAAACAATAACAATAAAGACCAACATCCTGACACCCAGCCTATTCATTTATGTCCTCTGAAGTGGACTTTTTTTTTTCATCTATATCTTTTGACTAATTTGAGCTAACCTACTAAATCCTAATGTGCTCTTTGGAGGACATCCTGGCCTTTCCAGTGGTATGTCATGTGTTTGGGTGGGATGAGGGGAGCTTTGTTTTCATGCTGAGACAACATGGAGACTGCAGCAAAATGCATATTTTTTTCTCAGTTCTCAGGAGGATATAAAACAAATAAACTACAAAACTAATACAGAAAAGCTAAAAAACAAAACAAAGCAATCCTTGGATTTGTTGGATTCTTATGTAATAACTTAGTAGGGCCATAACTTCTAAATTAGGCCAGTCAATCCCTCTAAATGACAATAATGTGAAGGTCTTAGTCATATATTTAAATTAGTTAATTTAATCCACATAATTATTAATACTGTAGAGTCTTAGCTTTGATATTTAACTTAGTCAGGAAAAGTTGCATTTTATATAATGATTGTAGGGTTTTATATTTCATATTTTTGTCTTGTAAAGCACTTTGATGCAATGGCTGTTGTTAAATGTGCTATATAAAGTATAATAGATATTTTAAAGTCATATTTAAAATCTGTCTCATTGATGAAATCCTTAAAAAATTCATCTCTGTGTATTAAAGTCACATATTTAAATGTAAAAGTAAAAATAATCAATTTGTGCCCTAAAAATAAATGACTTAGATGTAACTCTACACTGTTCCTTACTTTAGCATCTCAGTTTGAAATTCATCTATCAAGTCCTCACCTCTCTCCCTCCACTCACCCTTCTCCCAGCAGCTTGAGCACACCTGCTCACCTTCAGCTCTTCTCAAACACACTGTTGTATTAAAGCAATTCAGTCACACATGTTCAAAACAGAAACTGAAAAAAGATAATGACACACAAAGAGCCACACTGCATTTCTTTGGGCAATATGACATTCTGGCTATGATGGGATTTTAATAGTTTAACTGGTGATCTTACCTTCTTGCTGCATGCCAAAAGAGCTGGAATGTACCTAAGGAGTTTAACCTTTTATAACACTGCCACCTTAAAATATATATATTTTTAAAGCTGCTACCATTAGAAACAAGCTAATCTGTCAAGCAGCACCAGAAAAATATTCACTTATTAGAATATTAAAAGACTCGACATCTTTATTTCCCGATAAAGTACATTTCACACAACATATCACCTAAATCATATCTGTCAGCACATACGTAGCATTTAAAAAACCTGTCAATTCATCCAGCAGCACAGAGAGCAAATGGAAACTGCGCAAGACAGATAAGAGTGGAAGGGGAAAGACAGCCCGGAGTGAAATATAACAGAGATGAAAAGTGAACAGTCATCTGTTTACAGTTTTCTGGAAGTGTAGTCACAAGCATCTTACCACAATCCCCGACAGTCAGTGACAGAACTGTACGAACATTTCTGTTGGCTTCAGTGGCTGAGCTGAATAATATTCACAGTGACTGTTAATGTCAGGAGGGGATGTTGTCGAGGTGCACAGCTATTAAGAAAAAAAAAAAACAAGTGGGTACATTTCTTTCTCACATTTCTTTGACATTTGTCTGTCCCTTTCGCTGTGTCACTGTGTGTCTGGGTTCTTTTCCAGACGAATAACATCACTGTTTCACAAGTGTTGCAGTCTGCGGACTTTACATAATCATGTCACATTACACTGCTGCCTGTCAGGGACAAGACGAAGCCTAATGCTGAAGGTGGAGCCGGGAAGTTGCACAAAAGAGGTGTGAGGAATCGTTCTCAGATTATAATTGCACGACTATTATGCACATCTGAAAAGTGGGTAAGAAGAAAAGCACCAGCACACTTCTGAGATGTTGTTGTCTTTCACATCATACCGAGGAAATGCTGGTGCCGTCTTACCATGAGGGACTAAGACAGATAATAATGCGGAGAGAGAATGACAGATGGGAAGAGACAGAGAGATACACGGAGAACGGGAACAGCAGATTTGTAGCGACAGGCTGCTCGGTCGGAAGTTGTAAGATTGTTTAGCCTAAGACCTGCCATGGAAACCAGTTTGAACCAGAATCCAAAATATTAAATCACTGGCACGGCCCAGTGTCCCTCCAGTAGAAAAAAAAAAAAAAACGCCACCCATATTACGGTTTATTAAAAAATATTCTAATAAGGGTTGTGGAATCCAAGCTAGCTGTACATGAGGACGAACGTTTGCTGAGGCTTCATGGCAACAACACTGTGAGTCAGCACACGTCCATCAGATGTGAGCCAGAGCCGATTGGCAAATACTTCTTAGCAGCTTTGGGTGAGCTTACTGTGACAGTTGAAGTTTATTGTGACAGTTTGTGTCAGGTGCGTTGTCATCCACATGAAAGTATACTTTAGACCAGCAGTGGTCCTGGGATTTACATGGAGTCAAATTTTTCGCTCCCCATCGCCCAAAAAAAAAAATTCTATGGACGAGCTTCTGTCCAGATCTCAGGTGTCATCTGAATGTCACTGCTAATATTTGCTAGTATTTGGTGATTTCTCTGGTGAGAGATTTAATTTTCTTGCTTTTTAAACTGGTCAACTGTTAAGATTTTATTCAAACAAGGTTTTTAATTTTTTAGCAAAGGCCAAAAGAGGTTAAAAAACAGAAATTTTAATACCAGTTTAGCTTCAGGGCAAGGTGAAGCTCTCTGAAAGACAAACACACGAGCACAGAAGCACAAAAACATCAGCACCCACCATCCAGGGGAAACCATCCACTAAAAAGAACAGTGTCACTAAGTTTCCATAGATTTAATGAGTTTGTAATAAGTTCAGTGTTGCTATAAATCCAATTTAAAGCTGAGATGCATAACTACAGTCATCAGAAATATGTGGTTTTCGCAAAAAGTCTCTAATCTCACCTGTATGGTTTAAAGCAGGAAGGTTTCTCCTTCACAGAGAACATCAGCTGTGGTCGGCTGATCAAAGCTGAGTGATGTGCACTGACCGGCATCGCCTGACACGGTGGTTATATAACTGCATTGCCACATACGATCAGTCCGTCTCGCCGCCGACAAACGAGCTGTCTTTGAGGATCTGATTCTTCCAAGAATCACCTCCTAAGTTACGCAGTGCAAAGCTCAGAGCTGCACAGGATTCTCATGCAGACAATGGAGAGAGCTGGACCTTATTGACAGCCAAGTTTGGATTCAAACGCATGTTAAGAAACTTTGTGGTTTTTGGGTCAGAATTGTGTGAAAGCAGACAGAGAAAGGGCCTCATTATCAGATCTATGGTGCAGCCAGACAGGTTTCAAACCCGCTACAGCCTCCACGTTTCTCTCACAAGCACACATGTTGCTGCAGCACTTTCATCCTTGTGTATGACAAATACTTTAATCCTTCATCTGTTAACCTCTGACTCTTTGCTGCAAACTGTTTTTTTTTTGTGTGTGTGTGTGTGTGTGTGTGCATAAAAATAGCTCCTTCTTGCCAGTTCCCCAAAGTATAAGGCATCTGAGTGCAAGAAAGTGAAACTTTGCACCAGAAAGAGGCAAGTGAGGCCAACTGCTGCATTGCACCGTGGTGGGAGTAAATCTGCGTGCCTCTGTCCCTCATTTCAGAGAGGGCTTTGATGTCACTGGAATAAGCTGCAGCTCATTGAAGGAACATCAAAGATCCCCACCCCCTCAGTCCACAACCATTCTCTGCTCTGCAGGAAACGTGTTTGGAAATGCCGTGGGGTCCCTTATCTTTTCCATGATTAGCGGCTCATTAACTGGCTATTAATATTATCAATTACACCAGAATATGCACAGTAACTCTGGGGAGCGACTGAGTGGCTATTTGGAAATTTGTGATGTAAAGAAAGAATGTTTAATATCTTTGTATTTCTTTAGGCTGAGCTCTCTTATTCAGAGGATTGTGCTTGATAGCCGATTACGGATCCTTTGTTGTGTTTTCTTTGATTTGAATCCTCTGAGCTTGACGGCTATTACACCCAAATTAAACAGACGTCGAAATTTTCTGCATTTGTCTTTGTTGCCCTTCAAATGTTTTAAACTTGACTTTCAAAATATCGTTTCTCTTTTTGTTTCCATTTGTAATTAGTGAGTGCAAGGACACGTGAAGGACACGCTCTCCAATTGCTCTTTAATGTGTCATTCAGGCACAAAGGTTGAATCAGCTGATTTACATGTGTTTGTTCTGACCTGCCATTGTTTCATACAGTCAATCTGAACAGCTCCAGTATGGCTTCTTTAGACTGTCTCATTTAATTAAGTGTCTTAAGATGGGTATCACTGACTCTGTTCCAGTTCTTTAGCAGAAATTATCTCCGGCACTCGGTTATCTACCCCATGCTTTGAGGTTTTCTCCTCTTTTTGGTTCTGTCCTCTTCTCTCCGCGCTGTCACAATGGAGCATGGTTGTGGGATGACCTTCGGAAAGAACCAAATCAGTAACAGCATCAGCAGAATTGTCATGCTCTTTGGGAACTGGCAAATTTGACTAATTTTCCCCCGACTCGCTGCGTTTCCTTTGAGCACAACAGTTGTTTGTTCCATTCCCTCTGCTCCTGTCACTATATATTATAAACTTAGACTCAATTTACAAATA